GAGTGTATTTGTAAAATGTTTCCTTTACTGTCTCATGCAAAAACTCATTTTCCAACCTAAATGTGACTGATTATGTAAATGATTAAATCTGTGAGGCAACCTCTCTAAATGCAATTGGTTCATCTCTGGAAGGTAAGGCAATATTGGAGGTAGCATCTGAACCTTAGCTGCGTTTGGACTGTTTTGATGTTTCCAGCCGAGTTAGCAAAGTTATTATTATCCAAAGCCTTCAATTTGTAGGTTAATCCACTTCCAACAAAGTTATTTAATGAAGTGTTCCTTCTGATTTCCATCTCCATATTAGATATGATTAATCTGTGACTGTAATTAAACCTTTACTCGATCCGAAACACTCGAACAATTATAGACGTATCTATTATTAAATTTTTCTTCAACAAGTAGTCTAGCACTTACACCCTAATGTCCTTTTAAAGAGTTTCCGTCAGGTTTTAGAGCTCATTATTGTACTGAAAAAGCTGATGAAAGTCACTAATTATATTTTTATAGAAAATTGACTCGTTTCTTTACTTTACCTGTTAGATCTCAGTGGTGCAATTTAATAAAGAAGTTCAAGATATTCTTTTAGAGAGGCTTGAATATTTTGTAGGAATTAAATGAACTGCACTAGGATGGCTTAAAACTTTCTTATCTGACAGATTTTAGTCTCTTCATGTTGAGGATAAATCTTCCTCATCCTCCAGGGTTACCTGTGAAGTACCACAGTGATCAGTGCTAGGACCAGTTCTCTTTACCAGATGTTTGTTGAATTATCAAACATTGTGGGATTAATTCCCACTGTTATGCTGATGATACTCATCTATATTTGTCCATAATACCCAAAGACATGAAAACCAAGATGGCTCTAAGCTTTCTGCTTTTGAAATGCAGACAAAACAGATGTTATTCCCTTTGGACCAGAGTCTATGAAAAAGACGCTAAATAGTCAAGCTCCTCACCTGGATGGAATTAAATTGATCTTGGATAATTAAGTAAAAAATATTGGTTTTATTTTGGAATAATGCAAAAATTGGAAATATCATGTCCAGGAGTGATGCTGAGAGACTAGTCCATGCATTTGTTACTTCCAGGCTGGACCATTGTCATTCTTTACCATTGGGAAGTCCACATACTGTGGTTAAAATCCTTCAGATTATCCAAAATGCTGCAGCCAGAGTTCTGATGAAAATTAATATCTTATAGTTTTTATATTTCCCTAAAAGAGCACTTCGCTCTGCAGGTTTACTGGTGTTTTCTAGTATGGAACGCAGATCTTTTAGTTATCAGGCCCCTATCCTCTGGAACCAGCTACCAGTTTAGTCCATGAGGCAGACACTCTGTCTACTTTTAACGCTAAGCTTTAAACTTTCCTTTTTGATTAAGCTTATAGTTAGAGTGGCTCAGGTTATCCTGAGCTATCTCTATAGTTATGCTGCTACAGGCTTGACTATGTGAGAACATATGGAGAATGTTTCTTCAAGCTGCTTCATTCTCTTTTCCCCCATACAGCAGTATTTATTAGTTCTACCCCTACCTTTATGGTATCTGCTTTTTCTCATCACAGTAGCTTTATTGTATCTGGTGCTGTTTGGCATCCTAGAAGGCAATAGCTACCGTGGTCCTGCCATGAACACCTTTGATTATAGATGACAGAATTGGTCCTATTTTTCAGTAATTAGTCCTGTCTCTCTCCTAGAAAGAGCTAGGGGCTTTGTTTTCTTTGTGACAAACTATATGTGCTGTCTTTCAGTCCCTTTGGTATGAAAACTGTCTCAGAGCTTCTCTGCTTGGTTGTTTTTTTTTCTAGACAGAGCCGCCTATGGGGCTAGTTTAGAGTTATCTTTTCTAAGTATTTATGGATCAGTGATTCTATATGTTCCCTTTGTTTGTCTGCTTCTGTCTCCTTGAAACTCTGTTGGCCTCTGCAATGGGCCTGGTTCTGCTGGAGGTTTCTCCTTGTTAAAAGGGAGTTTTTCCCTCTCCACTGTCACTGTGTGCATGCTCAGTGTGAGAAGTTGCTGTCGCATCACAATGCAAGCGAATATCGTTGCAGTCAGCTGGCGTTTATTAAAAAACTTTGAACCAATCCAACTGTATGAATGGATTGAACTGTCTCTGTAATTGCTTTGAGATGACACATTGAGAGTTGATGAACTGAATTGAATTGAACTATTGAGTGTACCAAATCATGAAACTGTAAGGACTCAGCTGGGCTGGTCCATCCATGACGTAAACATCATCGTGAAATACATTTCTCTATTATTTTTGGGTGACCACTGCTCCATTTGATTACAAGGAGAATTTAAAAGGGGTAAAGCACATTTTTAATGTTTTGTAGCTTAGTGTGGAGGATACTTACGTTTTCTTGAGCTCTGTAATTAACTGTTCACCAGATCTCCATACCTCTGTCCAGCTGGGGAAGCGTATGTTAGTGTGTATCCAGCTGTGTATTATCCTCAGTCTCTTATCTGCTTAACCACCGGCCCACAGTTAACCACAGCCATCTGTTGCCCATGAACAGAGCTGGCTGTGGGCAGCTTCTCTGATCTACATGCAGCAAATACCACTTCCTCTTTTTCTTTAACTTCCTTATTCTGAGTCATTTTACTCTGGATTTTATATGCATGTAAAGATGGAGATCCATTCATCATTTTGGATTCATTGACTAGTCTTCTCAAAATCCTAATTCATTCACCAGACACCAAAATTTGTTTAAAATGCATTTCTTTCCTGAAATCATTGCTGTTAAAATAAATAAATAAATAAACGGTTGGGTATATTTCTTTTATTTTTACATTTTGCCCTTTTGAAATTCATTTTAGCAATTAATCAGCTATGAGAAAAAGCAATTTGCAAACTTTTATCCAAAATAAATCTCACTATGAGGCCTTTTACCTAATACAAAACAGTATTTTTTTTTTCAATTTTTTGTGTTCTGTTGTATTTTCTAAACATCACATTATTTTTTGTTGTTAAAGATTTTATAAAAGGACCATGTAAAATGTAAAACCTCGCATACAATTTAGTTACCTTGTATATGAACACAATCTAATGGTGTTTATTTAGTTTCTGTGTCCCACTTGATCTTACTCCTGTGCAATATGGCAGACTTTTATTAAATTAAGACATTTTCTAATCAGGAACATATTTTTTTTTTGTTTGTGGCGTCTGTAGGAGTGTTATATCAAGGAGCTACACCCACAATAATAACGAGACGTCACAGTGAGGGAGTCAGGGGCAGCATGGACGGCTGTATGTTAGGACTGAACAATTCATTGCAGGAGTGAATAAACATTATCATGTTGTGCAACAGAGAGGTCTTTATGATTGCCATGCCTTCTGTAAAAACAAGGAGGACTTAATAAAACAGAAACGGGATTAACACTGAGCTCTGTGGCCCTTACAGGATATTAAATGTAGCTGAATAGTACAACAAAGTTTTAATTTGCCTTCATGGAAGATTTAATACTCTTTAAGCTGGATTCATTGTGCTGCAGATTAGTTTGTTATTCAGCAATTAAAAACTATTGAGAAGGGGAACAAAACAGAAGAGCAAAATGGATTTAGATTGTGTGAAAATGACTTTGTCCACAATGAGTTGATTCATAGAAACCATTGCTACTATAACAACAGTGTGCATACTGTTTTACTGCTGCTGTAACATACCAGTATGCCAATGTCCTATCAGTTATAAAAACATTCACTGTTTAGACAGAACTGAAACCAGAGCTGTTTTTTTTAAACAACTCCCTCTGTTTTACATTAATGTACCTTAGGAATTCTTTTCACACCTTAAGATGCCGGTTTAGAAATCCAACCCTACTTCTTGATGGTATGTTCATTACTATAATTATATTTACACAGTTCAGACCGGTTTGCTAAAACCATCTCACGCAATCTGAGTAATGGGTTTGTTGAGGAACCTGAAATGTCTTTTACAATTTGAAGCCATCCTGATCAAATTATCAGCAGAGTGTCTGTGTTTTTTGTTTTTGTTTTTTTTGTGTGTGTGAGTTTTTTGTTCCTGTTTGATTGTTTGGAGGCGACAGCAGCAACTTCTTGGATGTGTTGCAAGCCAGTTGTCTGCTGGTGTTTGTTATTAAGGTGGGTGGGAGTGGCTGGGTGAGTGACAGCTATGTATGCATCTCTGCATGCTGTAAGGCGGCTGCAGACAGCCGGATGGCTCGCTCTGTAGGAGATTCTACATTTTAGAAGATTGTCGTAGCCACTTCCACACTCACACAGCAAAGAGATTCCCTCTGTTTACGTCAAAGGCTTTAACTCTGGCCCTCTTGTCTCTGTTCGGAGCAACAAAAAAAACACACTGTGGTCCTGCAGTGAAGCTATTGATTCATACTGAACATCTAGACAATAGTTTTGTCAATCAATGTCGCCTCCCTGTGAGAGGATGAATGCTTAGAGGGAATAGGACACTTTACCCAACCACTTTCTTTCTCTCACCTCTTTCTCTAACAGAAGTTGGTTGTTCGAGTGTTTGGATATTTGGAAATCAGTCAATCCAGATAGGAATAACCTTTCTTTTTAATGTCATAAGTAATTTACGTTGCAACCCAGTATTTGAGCAGGTTTTTTTTTTTTTGTTCATTAATATCCACATATGACAATTTTCTGTCTGTCATTTCTCACAGGAAGTCGATAGAGAACCTCATGATGCATTAAACTCCTTTTATAAAAACAATGAAAGGATCTCAAGATTATATTTCCCCTTTTTAATAGAAATTTCTGGTTTTTGATCTAGCTGTTTGTTTGTTTTGGAATAACTTTGGATTAATGGTTCTTTTGTTTAGGCGTTCCTGTAACTATTTTAAAATGTTCTGCTGTTCCCTGTTCCCATCTTACTGTTTGTCTTATTAGTTACTACAGAGTGTTTTAATGGAGTAACTGAAATAAACGTTTGATAATGTCAGATGTATATAAATGTGTATATTTTATCATGTTTTCTCTGCACCCTCTTTTCTTCATTATTTTCACATCTGTTTCAGGTGGGACCAGAGACATCGGGTCGGCGCTGACCAGGATGTGCATGAGGCATCGCAGCATAGAGGCTAAACTCAAACAGTTCTCACTGTAAGGAAACTCCCCACTTAACTTGAACTTGTATTCTAGCTTTTGACTAAGCAATCTCCCACATATATTAAAAAAGATTCATCATTTAGCTGTCGTTTCTACTTGCCTTTCACATGCTGACATTTCGGGTGAGTGGGTGACCGTGACCCTTGTTGTGGAATGCTGGGAAGAAGGCGATTTGGCTAGCTGCATGTGCATCTATAATGTCACAAAAAAAGATGCACACACCATACGTTTCTGCTGAGTCTCGTCCCATTACCACACACATCTCAGACAAGAGGCTCTTTAATTTCACTTGGCATTTCAGTCCAGATTCCATTTGGATCTCCATGGCAGGCAGACACCCGTATACGTGGGGGGCTGCCATCAACAACCACCCACTGACACGCACTTTGCGGAGATGTCTGCAAGAGGGAAAAGTCTAATTTTAGCTCGACTCACTAAGGCTGCAGCTGTCTGCTTTTCACACACTTTACAAATGTGTCTCAGAAGACGTTTATGCCTGAGTAATGATTGACAGACATAACTGCACAACCTTAGTACTTCCTCCTGTGATGCATAGACACTTGCAGACTCTTTTTCTCACAGTGTGGGTGTTTTTTTTTTTCTTTATCCCTCCCAGTCTGTCTGTCTGTCAATGATTGATGTAAGATTATATGCCACGTAAATAAACCAGACTGATGTTTCTGCATTTTTCATGTCTGACAGTCTGCTTTCCACTGCAATCAGGTGATTGATATTCATCTGTCCAACATTGTTTCCACAAACTTAAATGTTCTTTATTTCGACATGTGAAATGGTTTCTTTTACAATCCTTTACAAATAAAAATCTGAATAGGTTTGGCATGAATTCTTATTGAGACAAACCAAATCAGTAGGCTGTACCCTAATCAAGCTAAGACAGGTTATTGACTGGAAAACTATTTTCTAATCAGATAACTGGATTGTATTTAAGGTTTTTAACATATTGGGGGCAGAAGTCAAGTCCATAAGGTGGTACGAATAGTTTCTTAGGCACAGTATTTATTAAAATGAATGTTGATTTTGCTTTTTATCCTTCATCGATGTCAATATCGCTCAATCTTGCAAAGGCTTACTACGCTACAGTGGATCAGAGAAACTACAGCGGTTCGTTTGAAGGTCATTTGAACTAATCTGACCTTGGATCAGAGGTGACAGCTCTCTTCTTTAACAGATGCTTCCAGGAGAATTTGATCAACCCTCTCCAGGAACAAATGGAGGAGTGGAAAAGGGGTGTCAACGCTTTAGACAAAGACCATGCAAAAGGTAATGTTTTCATTTTCATTACTTTTATTCACAGTTAACATTTATTCACTGTTTTAATTGTTTCTGATCACGCTAAATATTTAGTATAAAATGTGCAACAAAATAGTGAATTGACCCCGGTTAATTGGTCTGTTTGAACAGAGTATAAACGAGCTCGACAGGAAATCAAGAAGAAGTCCTCAGACACGCTTAAACTTCAGAAAAAAGCGAAGAAAGGTGAGGAAAATCTTTCCTTGTGAAAATCTTCCATTATCATTTGATGTTATTAGTTGCGTGTCTGTATACAGTGGAGACAAAGTTTCACCATTTCTACAAGAAAGTTGCTCTGCTTATAGAAAACCATGTGGATGAAATCAGATGAACATCAACTACATTTTATATATATTAGTGTTAAGGTTTCTATTTAGCTATTGACAAAACAGCAACATCTGGAAGCATTGAACTTAAAAAGGTGAATTCACTTCACACTGTTTTATGTAACAGCTTTCCAACTGCAGGTGAGTTTATTGAAGCAAAGCTGCTGTTTTTGTCGTAGGTGGCTTGTTATTGTTAGCCTAGCCAGACCTGAGGCATGTTTATTCCATTGACCTCTTGGTGAAATTGTCTTCTTTAAACATTTAGCCTGGTAGCTGTTGTGACTCAGCTGTTAGTGACCAACTGTACACCATCTGTGTTAATATATGAGATACAGTTGTTTTCTATGAAGTATTAATGTAATATTTTATAAGATGTATGTATTTATTTCAAGCAAGGCTGGTAAAAAAGTTCCAGAATAAATGATCTGTCGTGGGGAAACTATCTGCTTTATTTATTTGAATGTATAGATAACAAAATATAGCTTAGGTTTTATTAAACTGCATGTGTCTTAAACAAGTGTTTTCCCACTCATTAGGTTGAGCAGCTCTAGAAAGGCTAAACATTGCCTTACTTGGTAAACACTGTGAGAAGGAAGGGGCCTATTCCCTCTGCAGCTCTCTTGGCCGAGGTTCTGCATACTCGCTCACCTAACTGGAAAATTAATACTGTGCTATAAAAGACAGCTGGTTTGCTATCATTGTGGCATGTTAATGGATTTGCAGTGGTTTCAGGTTTAAATGAGTTTTTGGAAACAAGAAACGCAAATAACATACCAAAAGGCTGCAAAGACGTTAACTCGTGAAATACAAAGAGGGAAATTGTTCCTGTTTGGTTTACCCGTCTTTTGTAGTGCAGTAAGACTGTTGAGATTGGACTAAAGGATCTATTGGATCTTTGCAGGAACAAAGCTGCACTAAAGTTAATTCAAAGTCATTCAGTATCTGCTTTGATAAAATTTCCTAACATAGTGTAACTCTCCATGCTTGAATCATTAAACACAGTTTTAGAAGCAAAAGCACACATTCATATGATAGGTTAGTGTTTAGAGCTGACAGTTTCTAAGTTCATGTGGATCTTTTTCTCCCCCTGCCCCCCTGTGGTTCTGATATTCTTCACCTATTGCTGCTCTGCAGCAGACAATCATGGTAAGTCAATTTATCGACAATATTTACATCGATCATGCTAAAGTTCATCAAGCATCTTGGTTTTTAAGATACGTTTACTAATGTAGGTTGTGTTTTGTTTATAGAAACTGTAGCAACATGTTGGTCCTATTTTAAGTGCCAGCTTTTTTTAGGTTCACATATTTAGGCTATAATTAAGGATTTGGACTTCTTTTCATTTTTTCCCCCTTGTAAACGTTTTAGCTTAGAACTAAATCACAAAATTTTACTTAAACACATCTTTACTTGTGTAACACTAACATAAATGAGTTTAAAAAATGCCCTTCAGTCTGAGCCATGAAATCTGGTAATGCATCATAAAAAGGACTAACTAAAGTTTCAAAAGGAAGCCCCTGTCTGCTTAAACATCTGCTGTGTTGTTAGCTATACATGGTTCTCATTCTAGAATGGTGGTGTTTAAGTTCTGGATTCTTTAGGTCTGGAGTAGGATTATCCCCAGGTCCAATTCTATGATATATATCTATATTTTTCTATGTATGTTTACTTAATAAGCCCACCCCTTTTTCTTTGGATCGTTCCTCCATGTTGGAGGCAAGGTTCATATCTCCTCCTGATATAAAAATCTGATTGACCCAGTACACTGTTTCCACTGATTTTAGGCTCATTAATAGTCAGTTTATCGGCCTAATTTCAATTTAACTTTAACATATTGTAACCAGCGTTTTGTGCCAAAATATATACGGGGCAGAGCCCTGGTCGACGGAGCGCAGATGTCAGTCAGAGAACGGATATGCTAATATAACATCAGCGTAGTATCCTGAACTTGAGCGTAGCGGGGACAAATATGAGCATAGTGGCCTGCTAAGCTGAGATATGCTAGAAAGAAAATGGGAGTACATAATAAAAAAATGTTTCCTATTTTTACTTCTCATCCTACTCTTAAAGATTGGATCTGTGTCTATACCTTGAAGCTTTTTCTCTCTCTGGAACTTTTCCCGAAAAGGAATCACTCGGGATAAACTCTTAAAATAACACTTCATTATGTATTAAATAACCATGAGACATGACAACAGATTTTGATAGAACTTGTAATCTTACTCAGATCAGAGAAATTGCTTAGGGTTACAGAAGGCAGCTGATCAGGCTCACCTCTCAGAAAGTGGCCCCAACAAACGGGTAGAGAAGCATTTTATACTTCAGTGTACCACATCATCACATCGTTACATAAAACACGTTTGCAGATGAGGAGACATCCATGGCTCCAGCCTTATCAAAATATTACACTTTGTTCTTAGACACCGCTCTCATTCCATTCCCAAATATTTGCCACGTACAAAATGAAGATTATTACTGTACATAGCCGGACTGAGGAACTGCCATAATTAGATAAACTGCTGGGGAAAACATGAGTTCTGACACGCAACAGGCAGCTAATATTAAGGTGTAATAAACTCATACATCATCAATGATAATTATCCTAACACTACTGACTATAAGTTGAGTCCTACCTTTCCCCCTCCATCAACCATCTATGCCTCTACCTGTTGGTGCAAACCCTGGAAACTAAAAGTATTTCTTTATATGCAAATATGAGATTTTGACTTTTAAAATTGTGCAGGAAGCATGAATAGACATTTTATGACATAGAAACTAGAAGAAAATCTTTGCTTTCGGATGTCTAAGCTTTTGCAAACCTTCTGGACTCTGTTAAAGATGACATCTTTGACTTGGTATGTTCAGCTTGATTAGCCTTTATGTCAAAGCTTTTCAGCAGTCGAGAGCTTGGGCCTTTTGACTAAAGGCAACACTAGACGGCATATTTTATCTTATTATTTTTTACGCTCCCACTCTGAGGTTAGTGCTATGCCTCATCTCAAAGAGCTCAGCCTTTGAATGCTGCTGCACCTGGAGCCAGCAGCTTGAGTTACTGCAGTAATATTCACCTGAGGGGGAACAGCTCTCAGTCTTCTCTCTGTATCTGCATATTTGACAGTATAACTATAGCAACTGATGCTGTTTTATGTGTTGCTAGAGAATCAAACCTTCAAGTTAAATGAGAACAGTTGGTTATGGGGAAAAATCTGCTTATTATCCTTATTTAATCAGTTCAGCCACTGTTTCCAATTTATGTACAATGGAAGACATCAAAAACATGAAGCCCTTAGCAGATGAAAAGATTTATTAAAATAAAATAAATATTCCTTTTGGAGTATAGAAGTTATTTTTATTAGTTGAAAATAATTGATTTGCATTCAATAGTCCAACCCTTTTTGTAATTCCTAACAAGCTTCTTTTTTTTTAAAACTGTTTTCTTTTGACTGCTTTTCTTTAGTTAAGAGGTCTAAGCCTTTCAGGTGGAAAGGCCTTATTGTCATCACCCTAATCTTTAGCTCCAGGAACAGATTCTCTGTTGGATTTAAGTCAGTACTCTGCATAAGCCACTGCAAAGTAATTTACATGTGGACAAATCAAAAAATAAAAAAAAAACAGGTAAATGATAATATACTTTTGGACTTTAACAGAACATGAAAAAACCTGCTTGCTGACAAAGTGAAAAAGTTTATCACAAAGCTGCCATGCTGTGCTCAAAAATCGTCAAGCTGTTAAAGAAAACTTCAAGGCATTTGTTATTTTGTCCAGTTTTCTACTTTGCCTTGTTGATCTAATTTTAAATACTTGAACCGATTTTTTTTAACCAAGCCGTGTTTTAGTTGTTATTTGCAATAATCAGATTTAATAAAATTTAATGTATATGTTTATGCATATGATTTAAAAGAGAAACATTTGTTCCCTCGAGAGGATAACGTACTATCTGTCCTTCCAGACAAGATCTGATGTTTTCCTATCAGTCTCATGAGAGTGTTTTTTTCCTGACCCAAAAGCCCAGCAGCACTTAGAAAAAGTCTAAAATTACAGTCTAATTTAATCAATGGCCATGTGAAAGATGGAGCAGTTAATCCCATTTGTCTCTGCACATGTTTCTACATGTGTGAAGAATGAGGGACAGTTCCACCCCTCTAGTCAAATCACTCAAAGCTGGTCAATCCTGTAGAGAAATGCTTCAAATCTGAAATGTCTGAGTGGCTGTGCTTATAGTTAAAGAGGAACACGTTTTTGTTTTGTTTTTTTTACATTTTGTCCCTTGATTTTACGTTATTACCTCATGCTCTATTCACCCATATGAGATTTGTGTCATTTGGAGCTGTTCTGAAGATATTCGGTTAGGTTATATTCAAGTAACGTCTTCCTATGGGACACGACTTGAACAACTAATCTGTTCATAATTTATTCTTTATGGTACACCAGCATTCATAACATGTAGGCGAATGACTGCCCCCAGACATATTTTTCATATTTATATATTTTTTAAACAAAGCGGCGCGTGTATGACGTCATCCACATACCGGACTGGAGTTGTGACAAGCAGCCCGGGCCACAGGCAGCTACGCTCTACCCCTTCTATGCATTCGGCTAGCTGATCTGAATCGTTCAATTCCATTTGGAGAGCGAGATCATCTGTGGTAGTAGCACTAGACATCAGGCATGTGAGCAAAACTAGCAGCAGTTCAGCGAATAGGATGAATGATTGGTAGCCGGCGCATGCGGATGACGTCATACACGCGCCGCTTTGTTTTTACTTGGATTACAAATCCGAATATCTTTGGAACAGCTCCAAATGACACAAAACATGGGTGAGTATGGGTGGCCAATGTAAAAAAAAAAGCGGTGTTCCCCTTTAATGGACACTCCTATTGTACAGTGTTGGATGTGAATATTATTCTGGATCTAGGGTGAAAAATAAACACATTAAATAACTAACGGTCACCTTAATAAGATCTAATAATGTTAACAGCTTTTTCGGTATCATGTTCTAAAGACTGTTTTTATGGGCAGAACCCATATTTGTGTTTTTTTATCTTTATAGCAGGCCATTTTAAAGTTATAAAGTCTATCCAAAAGTTAACTGTATAGAATCTGAGCTTATATTTTCTATCTTATATTTTTTATCAGTTGTGGGTGTTTTTGTCTGTTTGTTTTTTACTGAAAATGGCAGCAACATAGCCTGTGAAGGTCCTTAATCATCAGTCTAGTTTGTTGGATTGTAGTTCAAAGCAGGTCGAGGACAGTTGGCCGCTTTGTGGAGTAGTTTCCCCCTTTTTTAACCTGTATGTTGGCATTTCATCCCTGCTGTCATTTTGGGCCCTAAACAAAGGATGGTGACAAATTACAAGCACGATGGATGATTTTAAAAAAAAACAGATAACATATTTAATTTCATAAAGATCTATTTTAATTTCTTTTCATTCCTTTTTCATCCCTAAATATGACAGTTTAGAACCTGCCACCAAACCAGATTACCTCTGATTAAACTGAGGTAAAAGAGTTTCCTTGTATAGCAAACCTTAAATCAATCTGTATTCTTTTAAATAGGATCTGTAAATCATGTAAAGATTATATGTGCTGTGAATTGGTGATGCCTAAGTTAACTGAAATGACCCGCCAGCTGTCGGACAAGGTTTATCTGATACATATAACTATTTCATTACAGTAGGCTAAAAGCAGATTACAGAAAATTACTTCAAATCAGAAGTAATTGTTCAAAGGGAATATGAAATGTTCCAGTTTTGGGACACAAAGAGTTTAGAGAATCTCCAATGACAAAATGTTGGCTTTAAAACTGTAGAAGAAGAAGTTGGCAAAGTTAAAATCGTCAACACAGAAACTTCTGGAGCTGTTCTATGTCATTTTAATGGATTCATCATTGACCTGTAAATGGAAGATTTCCCAGGCTGCTCTATCTGTCTTAGGCAATGTTCCTCAACTTAAGTCTCTGCTTTTCCAAGACCATTTTGGTTATGTCAAGAAAGCTGATTGCCACTGCCACATTAAATGAGTTATGAAAAACAAATCTCTAAATGGGACATGTGCCAATGAGACATCACAGCTTCTTTTCCTTTAGGATGGAAGAGTGTTTTTTCTCTATTAAAGTCAGCTCAGGCCAACTTTTTTAAACATAAGGCTTACATTTCCTTCTCAACTTTGCCTGAACTTTAAAGTCAAGCCTGCCTTCTGCAGCGCTTTAATGCAAAATGCATTAAATCAGCTAATTTGCTTTCTGTAGCTTCAGCTGTTGGAAACTATACTTTATAGATCCCAATCACAGATGGTTTTCACATTACATTACAGTAATGATAGAGATGTTTATAATTAGTGATTACAGGAGTATTTGAGGTGTCAATTTATAAATAATGTCCAAGGCAACCGGATGGAAAAAGGTTTTGCCTGCAGGTACAATGATGACAAGCAAGGTCCTGCTGTGGAAAACAGACTAATAAGTGAGGCCTGTTCAGATTCAGTCATACCCTTAAAAAGAAAGTTCACTTTGGATCAATTTTGGACCAAAAAATAAATAAATGCAGAAGTTTGTTTTTTCCAGTAAGATTACAACCAGTTTACTGCTGTCCAAAATTCTTGCTTAACTCATGTTAGCATAAGAATAATGGAAATTAACTCTTATTTTCAATTTACAGAGGCACTCAACTTCTGTCACATTAAATTTATAGTACCGTATTTTCACGACCATAAGGCGCACCGGACTAAAAGGCGCACTCTCAGTTATGTGTCCCATTTCTGTATTTAACACACACATAAGGCGCACCGGACTATAGGGCGCGTTTTTTATATACAGGTACATGTCCTCTACTACCTTTAAATACCTCTACTGCGTATTTAAAAATACAGCGGGGGCAAAACTGAGTATGACTGTGCTTTATTCATGTATTTATTACAAAGTATTAATCAAACCTGGCAGCTGAGAGAGACACATCGCAGATGACACAGCGCTGTGATCACTCCTAAATTAACTTAAAATCCTGAAACCTGCTGACGGAATATGTTCGCTTTTATTGCCGGTATCCTGGTGCCTGCAGCTAAAATTATTTAGATGAAAAACACCTGCCAGCAGCCGCGGTGAACCCCAGGCTGCCCAGCCTACAGGCTGCTGATGAAGAGATTTCTGCTGTCAGCGCACCGCTGGTATGTGGGGGTCTGAGCGCCTCCGACAGAAATAGATAATCTGGATAAACTGACTGCAATTATTAAGTTTTCAGGTGGACTTTCTCACTTAAAAACATATTAAAACTACTTTATTCCCACTGATCACAGCAAATATAGCTGCAAGATTTAGATTATTTAGATGAAAAACACCTGCAAGCAGCCGCGGTGAACGAAAGGATTTCTCCTGTCGGCGCACCGCTGGTATGTGGGGGTCTGAGCGCCTCCGACAGAAATAGATAATCTGGATGAACTGACTGCAATTCTGAAGTTTTCAGGTGGACTTTCTCACTTAAAAACATATTAAAACTACTTTATTCCCACTGATCACAGCAAATATAGCTGCAAGATTTAGATTATTTAGATGAAAAAACACCTGCCAGCCACCGCGGTGAAGAGGAGGAGACCAGCTGCTGTTGAATTAAGTTTTCAGGTAGAAAAATAGAGCGGGAGCAAAACTGAGTATGATTGTGCTTTATTCATGTATTTATTACAAAGTATTAATCAAACCCATCAAAGTCATCATCCTCTGTTTCTGAATAAAACAGCTGCGCTAAATCAGACATGCCAGTTTCCCCTTCTTCGCTGTCAGTCACTTTCCGTGCAGCGCAGCTCCTCAGAAATAATGCCGGCTTTTGCGAAAGCTTGAACAACAGAGCCAGCAGACACTTTAGTCCAAGCATCTACAATCCATCCGCAAACTGTGGCGTAATTTGCCCGGCGCTGCCTTCTTATCCTGAAACTGTGGTCTCCGTCGGTCATCCATCTCTCCCACGCCGCTCGCAGCCTTACTGTGAACGGCCGCTTCAAACCGATGTCGAGCGGTGGAAGCTCCTTTGTCAGACCCCCGGGATAACGGCGAGCACAGCGTTCATTTGATTCATCTTTTTTTCACATCGGCTGTGAGATGGGCACGCAGCGATGGTGATGCGTGGAAAAAACCACCTAGTCTTCTCAGATACACCTGCCTTTCATCATCTCCTCATCCATCCATCCAGCCTTTTCATTTGCGTTAATATCATATGTCATCAGAGCGCTGTACTGTCTCGCTGTCAGCTCCCAGATCAGCTTCTCTGATTGGTTGATGCGGCGCGTCCAGCAGCAAAACTTAAATTTTTCCATGTCGAGCAGCAGCAGCGCGTTGGCGGTGCGTCAGATGCTTAAACGCTCCCGACGTGCTGCACCAAAACGCGCTGCAGGACCTTTTGCTGCACCTATATGCGCGTCAACCATTGACTTTGCATGTAAACTCGCTGCTTCTGCTGCACCTGCTGGGTCCGGTTCACACCGATGTCGAGCGGTTTGAACAGCGAGCACAGGGTTAATTTGTTTCCCCATGTTTTTCACATCAGCTGTGAGATGGGCACGCATGGAGTTACATATTAACAGCGATGGTGAGGGGTGGAAAAAAAACACCTGGTCTCCTTACATTCAGCCACTCTTTCATCATCTCCTCAATGAGGTGGTCTAAAAAGTCGCAGTTACAACACACATAGGGCGCACCGAACCATAGGGCGCACCGCACATTTTGAGAAAAAAAAAAGACGTTTAAGTGCGCCTTATAGTCGTGAAAATACGGTAGATTAAGACTGTGCCGTTTTTACCCCAGCCCTTTAGGTGGCGGTAATGCGCTTTTTGTGGGTTTCCCGCTGTTCTGTCAGATGGGCATACCCAGTCAGACCAGCATACCCATAGTCAATACCCATTTATCCCTTTAGGTTATCCATTTAGTTTTGTACGAAAAATAAACTTTAAACTACCTCAACGGGCGCTTATCCCTTTAGTCATGTGCAAAAAAAATAAAAAATTTATTACTTACTTTTTGGTGTTTATTGATCTCATCTTAAATAGTTTTTTTTTTTTTGTTCATGACTAACGGGATAGATTCCCGTTGAGGTAGTTTAAAGTTTATTTTCGTACAAAACTAAAAGGATAAATGCAAATCTGAAATTGTGCGCATGCGTATTGACTATGGGTATGCTGGTCTTACGGGGTATGCTCATCTGACTGCACCCCGGCAAACAAGGGTCGCAGTTGTAGTTGTAGTTAGCATACATATTTATGCATGCAAGTAGCTGTAAGCACTTTTACAGTCATGTGAAACATCTACATGTTTGTAGTTAGCTTTTGCAAAATTGTTCAACCCTAATTAGAGTCACTGTGGAAGGCTTCAGATTTTTATTTACATTTTATTAAATCCTTCTCTTACATTGATTTGTTGGATAGCTATAAAAAAAAAAAAAGTATATGTTCCCTGAAATATCTTATTTTTAAATATTGTTTTTCAGATATTTCATACAAAACTCAGAAAGCCTGAAGCTCACCACATAAACATGTCACTTTTTAGTAAAAGTATGATATTTACCTCTTGAAGATTCAACTTGGTTTAGCTATGGTTCCTCTGTTAGATTTAGCTATGGACTTTGACTTGGCCACTCAAAGCATTTCTTTTCCAAGCCATTCTGAGGTGGACTTGATGTGCTCTGGGTTATTGACCTCCTCAGCATTAGCGACGTTTCTTTGAGCTAAAAAGCCATCAACTGATGGCCGGGAATTTTAGCTTCAGGTTTAACCACAGAGGATAATTCATGGTTCCATCAGTTAAGGCAACGTGTCCAGGTTTTTAAACAGCAAAGTAGTCCCAGACCATTACATTTCCACCACTATGCTTTATAAATATAAATATTCCAAGTTTTCTTATTCCAAAACACTGCTGGGATTTTTTTTCAAAACCAGAAGGAAGCGGTAAGGGGGCCATTACTACTTGTTTTTTTTGTTTGTTTTTTTTTTTACAACATTGCATGCATATAGAGTAAACCCCACTCATATCCAACTTCCTTTTTGTTTATTTATCATGTTCATCTCACATGAAGGAAATTACAACCATCGTCCAGAAAAGAAAGCAGTTTGTTATCCCAAGCCAGACATATGAGCGGATAGAGACCACAGTCCTTGATATATTAAAGTCAAAACATGTTTTCGTGTAACCTTATCTCTAGTGGTTAGATAATGCCTCGGAGGCCCGCAGTGCATCATACGGTCACGGGCAGTCACCAACCTTCCTGCCTCCTTGAAGAAACTCAAGAGGTCCCGATTTGGCTTCAGGGCATCCTGTCTACAAACCATAACCGTACACACAAACAGTTACAAATTAGACACACACACATTTCTGCTGAGCAGCAAAGCAAAACGACAGGCAAGGCTGAGCGAGGAGATAACCTTGGAGTTCTAAATGTCCTATGGATTTGCATATTTATTGTTAAAACTCTGATATAGACAGCTGGTGAGCCAGATGGGTTTGTTGCTACTTTGCTTTCTGGGTAGGTTAAAGTCTTTCTAGAAACTTTCAGTAATATTAATGCTTGACATGAAGAGGAGTTTAAAAATGCAAAAAAAAAAATGCTGCAACCTTTGAATAAATTGTTATAATAATCTACAGACAACAGATTTGTCTAAAGAAGATGATCTCTTTTACCTCTTGAACAAGAGCAAAGAGAGGCTGAGGTGAAATCCAAAAAGTTATATACCTTTCCATATTCAGTGCATGTTGTATGATAACCTTATTGTTTGAACCATGGTGAAACGTGTTGCTGTTTAATTGGTTTAACACCTTCCATATGAAATAAACGTCATGTTTGTGTTTGTTCCTGAAGGCCGCGGTGACTTCCAGCCCCAGCTGAACAGTGCCATGCAGGATGTGAGCGATAAATACATCCTCCTGGAAGAAACAGAGAAACAAGCTTTGAGGAAGGCTCTGATTGAGGAGAGACAAAGGTTTTGCTTTTTTGTGGCTTTGCTGCAGCCTGTAGTGGTGAGTCAAAAAAAAGAGGATCATTGTTTTGTTTTTTCATTCAAGTTGCATTACTGTATACAATTATGATCTGTTTAAGGGTTTTCTACTTAGCATGTGCTTTGATGCTTTTAGGATGAAGAGACCTCCATGTTGGCAGAAGTTACCCACCTCCAGACCATCTCTGAGGACCTCAGGGCCTTGACCTCTGACCCACACAAGCTTCCCCCTGCTAGTGAACAGGTATGGAGAAAAAAAAACCTTAAAACACTCCAAAATGATGAATTATTGGTCAGTTTGTGTTTGTTTACAGCCCTGTAACAAACATTATTGGATTTTGTCTTACTATTAATATTCTCCTTTTATACCTACTTCTTTAAGGTGATCTCAGACCTGAAGGGCTCAGACTATGGTTGGTCGTATCAAACGCCTCCTTCTTCTCCCAGTACTACCATGTCCAGAAAATCTAGCATGTGCAGGTAAGCTCACGCAGCTTTGATCCTTATCTCTTATCTCATAGGTACAAATTTGTACCAATAATATATCTGGGATCATTTAGTTTTACATCAGAAATTTGAACAGCCTTTAAAATCCAACCCGTGGCCAAGATGAGCTGGAGAAACAACTTTTGACCACAAATCTTTTCATACAGTGAAGTTTAACAAACATAAATTAGGTTAATCACACTGTGATGATAAAGTTTTTACGATTCAGAGGGCTTTCAGTTTTTTTTAGCTGTTCAGACTTTGACTTTCTCTAATGGTTTCCAACCAGAACTGTTCTGTTTAAAGTCAGAGATCTACCTGGTGGGTTTTTCTTTGGATCTCCATCTATTCTGTTAACATTTTCTACAATGAATTCTTTGGTTTGAAGGGAATTTTAAAACTAGATTGGTTAGTGTTGATATTTGTTTGTAGGTGATTGATTAAAAAAGAATGTCTTTTGTTTTTTGATATAATATCTCACTTTATATGTGACATTTTGAATTTGACAATAGACACAATAGACATTAGTCTGTTTTCAGCTTTTCAATGAAAAGTGAATGTAAGCTAATTTTTTATTCTGTCCAAATTACCTTTGGGTTTTTTTTATCTATTCTAAAAAGTAAAACTAAGTTGTGTCTTTTGTCATCATTGTCCAATTTTAAATGTCACATATTTGGACAAGTTTAACAAAAAAAAAAACATTGTAACAGAACAAAAACAGAGCATTCTCATTAAAATGTTCATCAATCTTTGCGATTTGGTGATTGGGATTGGGAATATTTCTTGCTTATTATTCGCAGTGATTTGTGTAGTCTAAATTGAAATAATCAGAATTTATTTGGTTCTTTTGTATTTTTATGTAATTGCTAAAGGTTTACCATCTGTATTTTTATATGAGTTAGATTGGATCAGTTACTGCTTGCTGCATCGTGTCGTGTTAATCGTTTCCCACCCTGTCTCCTCCACATCCCCGTTATCCTCTGCGCTTTATCTCTCCACTGTGGTCCTCTTTATCCAACCCTTCCTCCTGAACTCCTGTCTTTTGGATACCTTAATTGTCTTTAACTCTTCACGTCGCTGCTAAACCTCTCCCGCTGGTCCTCCCCGTTGTGCCATCCCCCCCCCCCTTTCACAGTAGTCTAAACAGCGTTAACAGTAGTGACTCCAGGGGTTCCGGTGGCTCTCACTCTCACTCTCCTTCCTCCTCTTCTTCCTCCTCTTCCTCACATCACCTCTTTCACCATCATCATCCCTGCCATCGATACCGCAGCTCCACGTTACCCCTGCAGGCCCCGGCTCGGCTCTCTAGCATCTCTTCCCACGACTCTGGCTTCATTTCTTCATCGCAGGACCAAAATGCTTCTTCCAAATCGTCTTCACCGATGCCAGCTGAAACAAAGGTAAGAGAGGGAACAGAGATACTCATATTTATTCCTGTTTTCAATAGAGCTCCCTGCTGAGAGTAAGTCTCCTTAAGACAGACAGTTTTGTGGCTGTGGTAAGCATGTGAAGTCATTTCAGTGCTATTACTGTAGCATAAATATGCAGGAAATTAGGCTACTTCCTTTCTAGCCCAGGGTAAAACAGGTCAGAGTCATCCTGCTATAAAAAAAACCACCGCTGTGACAGATTTTGGTTTGGCTAAACTTAAAGGCCTCAGAATACTTTCTGCTTTATTTTCATTAAATGAATCATAGTTAAATTATATGTTGCCTGTACGTCTTACATGCATTAAGAGTAGGTCTCCATCAGCGGGCCGCACTCGGCTCCGTCTGACCGTTTTACAAAAGTTGTGAGATGATAACGAGCGATTGAGTCCAGGGGATTGTCCGTGCCAGCTTTGAGGCTTGCAGCCGACCGTGAGAGCAGCTGCTTTAGTCAACGTTGTGTCGTTTGCCAGCAACCAGAGTTCCTCAGCCCAGAACACACTGGTTTAGCCGGACTCCAAGTTTTTATGATTCACTGAAGGTGGTTTGGCAGCACAGAGCCTGACCCACATACAGTACAGCCCTGGGAATCACGCCTCATGTTTCCTCACCATGTGAACTTACAGTATCAGAGGCTTTAACTTTCTGAAGGAACTTTAACAAAGCTTCTTTGAAGGCCGTGCATCTAGTGCTGATATAACTCTGCTCCTAGTGTTATCTGGTCTTTTTCTTCCTTACTAACCTGTGGAGACGTTGCTAAAACCACCAAACAGACTCCCCTGTGCCTGCACCATCTATATGCCTTTGCTTTAACGCTGTTTTCCCATCCATGCCTGTTTGTCTGTCCAACCTGCTCGTTCCACTTCCTGCCTGCTGCTCCTTGTCCTCTCCGCCCCAGCCTTGTCCCACTTCCAGCTCCTCTGAGACGTCAGAGACTGGGCAGCTTGATGGTGACTGCAGCAATGCCTGCTCTCTCTCTGCCACTTCGCTTCAGAGTGCTTCTCACAAGGTGACAAAACCTCACAATGTAACAAAAACCACAAACCTGGGCATAATGAGAATCGGCTTTAATTCAGTTGAGGGAAATGGAGGCTGGCAAAGGGTTAAATATATTTTTCAGATTCTCTCAGGTTAAAAAAACAAACTTCATTGTTAAATGTTGCATTTTCATCCTATCTCTCTTTATACATTATAAAACTGCATTTCACTGCAGTCACTGATGCACCTTTTTTTCTTTTTCAGCACTTCTTTGTAGAGTTCAGAGAAAACATTGATACATATTTACATCTGTGGAGTTTAATTTCAAAGTCTAGCTTTTTATTGACCTCATTTCAAAACGCTGTGATCTAAGCCTTCCTGTTCTACCTCTGTCTGTTTTCCTGCTGGAAGATCTTCGCTAAAGGCTTTTATAGCCTTTAATAGTTTTCTTTTCACGAATCATCTATGACTTTCTTCCCTTTCTGCTAAAGAAGAGTATCACACAACATTATGCTGCCATGTTTCACAGAGCAAACTGTGTAGTTTCAGTTTTCATATGTTTGAACAAAAATTCTGGTGACCAAAAAGTTAAACTGTGTTCTAGTTTTGCCGGAGCTCTTCTACCTCTTTTTTCCCCTCTATAGGTCATAGCAAAATACAAATAGGATGTTTTCCTTTCATGGTTTCCATCTTTCTGCTCTTTCATAAGTGCCACATTAGTGATAATACTCCTCCAGTGTGGCCATGGACCACTGGGCTGTTTCTTCTTCCTGCTCAGCCTTATTTTAAATTGAAACGACTTGGTTGGTTCACCCTTTCAGACAGAGAACTAAAAAAACGATCTGAAAGATTTTCTAGGCAAATGTTTGGTAATCCAACCCTGCTTGCCAATCCTGTCTGCTCCTCGATGCTGCTTTTTCCACTGAGTTTCTCTTATAGACCTGCAGAGCACACCTGGACTCCATTTATTGATTTAAAGTCCTTTAAAGCTTATTGCAGGCACTTTGAATTGAATAAATAAAATGCATATAGTTTTAACAGTCACCTTAGTCTGCCACATCATTTCTTATAAAATAAATTGAAGTTTGTTGTTTTAACTTGACAGATATGAAAACAGACTATAAATACTTTGCAACCATCTTTCAGTCTTGTTTTATCAGTTCAGCATTCACTCTGCTCCATATTGATGTTAGCTCATCTGCATCGATTTGTTTGTTTTGCTTTTAATAATTTATCCTGAGTTCTGTCTGGGTTTTTTGTCATCATTTCATGTTTTGTTTCTTTTCCTTTAATTTGTCTCTGTTACCATCTTTGCATCCTCCCACCAACACCAGTTGTCAAACGGTTTCGACCACTACAGCCCAGCCAGTCCCTCCCACCTGCATAGCAACGGGGGCAGTTTGAGCCCAGTTTCAGGCACCGCCTTCCCATTCTTCCCTCCATCCTCTCCCTCCTCCTCCTCCTGCCCCACTCGTTCCTGGTCTCGCCCGGCCTCAGCCTTGCTGCCTGACTATCCCAACTACTGCACATTGGGTTCTCCGATGGTACCTTCATCAAAAGTCCCCAGCTGGAAGGTCTGTCATCAGCTCATGCTTTCCATCCTCCTTGTCTACAGTTTGTTCTCATGTTCACCTAGTTTACTCAGCAGTTTTAGAGAACACGTTTTTGAAAATCAGAAATGTGGAAGATTATTGATAAACAGGGTTGTTTGCAGGACTGGGCGAAGCCAGGGCCTTACGACCAGCCAATGGTCAACACTCTGAGGAGGAGGAAAGACAAGGAGAGTCCAGCTGTGGTGGACAATGGCAGCATAAATGGTAACAGCATGCCTTCAGGCCAGACATCGATCTCTGCACCTCCCTCTGCTCAGACACAAACACCAAGCCAGCAGGAAGAGAAGAGCAGGATCCTGAAGGTCAGCTTCAGATTCCTTCTTTCACCAAAAGTCATTTCTATAATTAATCCAAAGTGCTGTGAAAAGGTATTTTATTGTTTGTTTGTTTTGCGGTCAAACCTAACTCTATCAGATTGTTAAATAAAATTTAAAATAAGATTATTATATACTTGATTAAACAAACCTCACTCCATGTTTAACAGTAACCATCTTTGCCAAATGCCTGGATGATCCACCATCTGCAGCATCAATCTCCTTATCTTGAATTCAGTTTTTTACATTAAAGTGAAGAGCATTGAACCTTCTCCCCTTTGCAGTCTTTAATTTAACCATATTGGAGTTTTTTTTTTTTTTTTGACAGAACCTTACAGGAAATTTTTGTTAGTGAGCGGTACTGGGAATGTTAACCAATGTTCATCTGTTTTTAAATAATGACCAAATCTGGTTTGCTGCAGCACCCAAAGCTTTAGAAATGACTTTATAGTTGATTGTACTTTTTTTTTTATTTCACGTGATCAGGGCATGATGTGTTGTGCTTTAAGATGATTAAGCATACTTCATGTTGTCAGTCAGGTTCTATTTAATTCATTTCCTGATTCTTCAGGACTAGTTAATTATTAAAATCTACAAATGGATTATAAACAGTCATTTCTTAACTGATTTTTGTTGTTTGTTTCTTTTTGTTTTTCTTTTAATTTACTCTTTGTCAGATTGAAATTAGATCTAAAATGTTTCCAATTAGCAAACTCTGATTCCTGAAGCAGTTACATGTTTTTGGAAAGTAGGCTGACAGGAAAGCAGTTACATGTATAACACAGGGGGAGAGACATGTGGCAAAGGACCACAAGCCGAATTCGTACCCGGGTCGACCACGTCGAGGAGTAGAGCCTCTGTGCATGGGTGGTGCGCGCTAACCACTGTGTTACTGAACACAATAGAACGTTTTTATAAAAATGATTAACTGATGGATGCAAGCAGTTGATTTTTATCCACATACATTGTTTTGCATGCAATGCCATCTGCTAACTGTGAGTGAACAACAAAATCCGCCTGCAGCAGACCAGTGTTGTAGTAACGACACGTAAACGATTAATGTTCCCAGTTAATGGCCTCAGTTGATTATGCTTAATGACTTTAATAGCTAAAATAAACTGCACATGGCTTTGTCCATTCAAAGTCTAATGTCTTGATATTTACTTTCCCCCACATGTGGATTATATCTGGATGTGTCAGGCTGATGATCTAGAGGCCCAAAGTGAACTGGCCTTGGCCTTATCCAGGGGTCTGGAGCTGGACACCCAGAGATCAAACAGAGACTCCATCCAGTGCTCCAGCGGCTACAGCACTCAGACCAACACACCCTGCTGCTCTGAAGACACCATACCATCACAAAGTACAACAGTTTGGCTGGAGTTTTTGTATCATACTGATCATGATCAGGGAGGTAACCTCCACATGTTGACCTCTTTCAGTTTCAGATTATGACTACTTCTCTATGGCTGGAGACCAGGAGCCTGAGCAGGAACAGCAGCAGCCGTCCGACTTTGACAAGTCCTCCACTATCCCCAGAAACAGTGACATCGGTCAGTCCTACAGACGCATGTTCCAGACCAAGCGTCCTGCCTCCACAGCCGGTATGCCCAGCACGCAGCCTCCCTATCCTGGACAGGGGAACTACCATCCTGCCACACCAGTCCACACAGGATCCTATCCTCCTGCTGGGCCGTATACTGCCGCTTCCACTGGTACAAATAATTCACAGATGTTCACTAGCATTCCTTAGGATTGGAGCACCCTTTATGAAGGACTCATCCTTCCTCTATTTTCCTTTTAGCAGGTCACGGTCCAGTTATCGTCACCCCTGGCGTTGCCACAATCCGCCGCACGCCCTCCTCCAAACCCTGCGCCCGTCGCTCAGGCTCTGTGGGCGGAGGACCCATTCCTATTCGTACTCCGGTGGTTCCTGTGAAAATCCCCACGGTGCCTGACGTGTCAGGAACAATCAATGGGAGCAGGAGTCCAGAGGAGATCGGACGAGGAGAGGAGAGCTTGCATTCCCCAACATTCGCACAACCAGCAGAAGCTGGCAGCCTTCCTACTACTTCCTGGAGCGGCCAGGCCTCCACCAACCCTCCGACCTTTCCCCTGCCCAGCCAGGCGGTCCAGCAGTACCAGGGAGGGGGCGAGGATGCTGACGAGCAAGATGAAGGAAACATGCTGGTGGCTATCCGTAAGGGGGTCAAGCTGAAAAGGACCCTGACCAACGATCGTTCAGCTCCACGCATCGCCTGACGACATCATCCTGTTGGAGAGCTGCAGTCACTAGAAACCTGATCCTTTCTGGCAGATTTCCACTGAAAAAAATATCTGTGAATCTGGTGAAAAGCTTTAAAAAGGAAAAAAAAAGCTTTCTGTGTTAATAGGAGGCACCAGATGACAACCACTCTGAGACATTTGACATTGACTCAGTTAAATTATTCTGAGGTTGTTTTTGTAGTCATCCAGCTCTGGATCAGAGTGCCCCCTTGTGGTTGTTTCTATATTAAATTGATATATATATATACATACATATCACAAGCAATAAGAGAGCACTAACATCTCAGACATTGAAGATCTGAACCAAAACACTTATTATTTCTGCAGGGTTAAGGTATTGTTGTGTTTAAACTGTGTGGAATGTTAGAATAAGCTCCTGTGAATATTTTCTCTAAAAGAAAACAAAACCTTCAGCTTGTTATATATCAGAGTGAAATAACCACTGTCTGACACCATCAAAGGAAGACCAACCGTCTCATATTTTGGTGCCTTTGCAGAAGTCATTAGTTGGAGCACAAAGAGTGCAATATTTAGGTTCTATTAAAGGTACCTTAGTGGCTGATTGACACAAAGCTGTCCTTCACAGCTCAGAGACATAAGCACAGCACAATCCACAGGATCACATGTCTGAGTTGCTTTGTATAGCTTAAAGAAGTAGTGCAGATAGAAGTCGGCGGATTTGTTCTGAAATATTTGCTCACTTTAGTTGTTTTTTTTTTTTTATAATTTGTAAATAATTTAGCAAATCTCAGCAGAGGATGAGTGTGTTGGTTTTTTACTTTCTTTGCATACCTGTTGTTCTACTTCATCTTGTCAACCTCAGTTTCAGAACTTTAGAAAGATGTAATTATCATGACCCGTCCCTGCATCAATATGGTTTCCTGTTAAATTCTACCCCATGTTTCGGATTTCTAATTTGTTTATTCTGGAATGAGATATGTTAAATAGATTTGTTGGTTTTATTAATTTACTCTCTATTAGAGCAGAGTATCAATGTGCCATATCAAGATACCACAGTAATAGAAATCTCAACTGAGACAAATTATTTTTGATGTAAAGATTCTGTAGGCCAGGTTTATGGGAGTAACAAGGATGTATTTCTGCTTACATCCACTAAGTACAAATATAATTTCCCTTAAAATGAAGATATCACAAAAATATATGATTTATAAACCATAAGTAACCTTTTAGTTGTTGTTTTATATAAACTATGACAGGATGATGGGATATGAGATTAATCCTCATACATCAGCATTAGAATATAAGCTAAAGAGGCTAATTAGTGCTACTAGGTCTATAATTGATTTGCATTTCAGTTCAAGCACTGTGAGAGCATGGCTACTACAAGATGTATGAAAATGTAAATAATTTTCACCGTTGGTCAGTCCAGGAGCTCAAACACACACAACACGTTTAATTTATTTTCTTTTTTCAGTGTTTTAATTTTGTCTGGGTTCTCATTTATTACTACTTTGTCCTTTAAAAGATCAAAGAGACAAAGTTGCTTGTTAGTTTTCAGTGTAAAAAGATGTAAAACAGATCAGAGTTTAGTGTGCATCAGTATTAGAAGTTCAAACTTCATGATTGTGCACAGCATTATTGTAAATGTTCCTCTGAGTCGGTACAGATGTCTATTGGTTTAGTTTATTTGCTTGTACAGTTGTTTTTGGCATGGCTGAACATTGGACTGAAACCATTATATGAACCAACATGACAGCTGTTTCCTGAAGGCAGTTTCATTTTGATAGGTCCACTTTCTTTTCTGTTTAAATGTCTATACTATGAACTTGTTATTCCCATAATAAAATTATTAGAATAAATATATGATATATATATATATAACCTATGAGTAAGAAGTTTATAGTTTGTAAAATTCTAAACACACAGTTTAACCTGTGATGTAGTTTAGTTTTTAGCTCATTTTCTCCCAGTGGAGAGTTGACCTCTTCCTGCCTGTATAGTTCAAGCTTCGATGCAGTTTATTTTACCAGATAAAAGTGATAATTTTAGAAATATAATAAAAAAGTGTAATTAACCTACCCTGGCTCACTTTTTTTCCATTTGTTTTGTTTTCTTGGTTGTTTGTTTTTTCCAATATATGACAAAAAAATATTTAGTGTAAGACAAGAAACATTTCAAACCATGAGAAACAGAAATTATAAAGTAATCGTACCTCTTGTACATTTTCTTGACATGACAAATTTTCTCTTTTTAAGGACAAACATTTAATATGGAATTGCAAAAAGAAGAGGATGTACCAATCTTTTCGAAACAAGAAACTGAAAGGTTAAACTGTTTAATCAAAACTTTAAAAAGTACACCAAGTTAATTTCATAGAGGAGCTTATTTCACCAGTCCAATCCAAATTTCATATTCTTAATTGGGGATTTAAGTGATACACTAATGTATCACACTATTGGCAACTGGTTGGGAAAATATTTGACATCACTGAATAAAATCCATTGCAGTTTACTTTTAAAATTAAATACATGGCCTTCAACATAAAGTGAAAGGCAGGGGGTGTAGATTAAAGGTATAGTGGTAGATTTTTGTGAATTTCTGTATAGAACTGCCCTCTCCACTTAAAATGCACATGCGCAACCCTGTACCTGCTCCCGAGGGAACGCCTATTAAGTCTGTTTAAAAGTTGCTGTTGCATGCTCGTACAGCTTACTTTCCAAAAGAAGTTTGCAGTTTTTCCACTATGTCAGACTCATCAGCTGTAAGTGAAAATGGGGATGAGCACATAGGACGGCCTTACGTAAACATATCACCAGAATAATGGACAATTAGGAGGACCACTTATTTTGATGATCCACCTGGAAAAAGAACATCCTCCACTATACCTTTAATATAGATCTGAGAAGCATCAGACAGGCCCGTTGTTACATTGGGGGAGCAGCAATAATCCCTTGCTCAGGTGGGAACATTTATTGAAGGGCTGTAACCTCTACAAATCTGGGCTTTAATGAAGATAGAAACTGTTTATAGCCAAATTCCCATCTTTTTTAGAAGGTTGTAAACCAGAAATCATTATTTCCTCAACTGCTTTACTGTTCATTGTTTTGTAGATCTGTCATTTTAAGCTAAATAAAACATTTTTGTAACGTGACAAACTGTACATGTAATGGTGGGGTGTTGGCCGGCCCTAAACAATTTGGTGCCCTAGGCAACATTTTAGCTGCCGCCCCCTTGCATCACTGTGCAGTACTTGCATGTCTGCTAGTGTAAATATACTCACAAGAAACTAAAAAGCTTTGTATTGGACATTTTTTTATTTACATAAAACAATTTTCACATAAAAAAAAACTTAAAAATAATTAAAGAAACAAAAAATGAACAGATGAAATACAATATAAAAAACGTATATAAAGTATTAAATTTAAATACTCCCAAAAAAAGTGTAAACAAGTGACTTTAATTTAAATGCAATATAAATGGCTTGTATAAAGTATTAAATTTAAATACTCCCAAAGAAGTGTAAACAAGTGACTTTAATTTAAATGCAATATAAATGGCTTGTATAAAGTATTAAATTTAAATACTCCCAAAGAAGTGTAAACAAGTGACATTAAATACAATATAAATATGGCACTGTGCAAGGAAAGAAATCAAAGAAATGAGTAGGCACAAAAAATACAATGATTTAAATAAAGAAAAAAAAATAACAGGATAGTTCTAGTGGTGTTTTTAGTCTCCCTTAACTTGAATTACTTCAAAAACTATATACTCTCACATGACTACAACTTTACTGTCCTGGGTTTTCTTGAAGCAAAGTCATCTACAACATCATCATATGACAGCTGATTTGAGACCACATGATTAATGCTTATGATGGAAAGTCCACTGAGACGTTCTTGCATCATAGTAGATCTCAGGTAAGTTTTACAGTAATCAGTTTAAGCTTGGAGAAGCTTCTTTCAGCAGCAGCCACCTTAACAGGAAGAGTGGCAGAGATTCTTAGAGCAACCCACGTGTTGGGGTAAATTTTTGCTATTTTCTTCTCATGCAGAAGGGCTAAAAGTTCCAAGTTTGTCATGTTTGTTGATGGCAATGGGAAATGTTGCATTTCCCATGTGAGTTCTGCTCCATCAATGTCCTGCTGGCTGTCCTGGGTCAGAGACGTACTTAGGGTTTAACACTTCTGTAGCAGATCTTTTTCTTCTAAGTTGGGGAAATCGAGGAGCACACCAAACATGTTATTCACTTCTCCAAGATTCTGAAACCTCTCATCAAGTGAAGAAATGGCAGTATCCATGACAACATTAAAAATGTGGTTTCCATTTTTGGTAGTGCATCTTGAATGGGCTCATCTGGACACTCATAGCCAAAGTGAGTTTCTGTGGTTCTCAATCCCTTTTTTTTTTAGTTCAGCCTCCACATTCATGTCTTCACACATCTCCTATGCTATTGTCTGTGCATCAGAAAATCCACTGTTTTTGTAACTGCTGAGGGAATCTCTGGTTTTCCTCAGCAAGTCGACAGCTACGTCAAGCTGCATGGAGGGTGACTGCATCAGTTTACTAACATGCCGGATTTAGCAGAGAACGTTATACCATATGGCTGCACAAATGCAAAAGCAAAATGATAATAATGTCTAATAATAAACAGATGATTTAAGGAAATAAAGTCAAATTAAATTAAATAATATAAACAAAAAAAGATGCATGCAGGATGTACACTAATGTTTATATTATACAATATCATTTTTGGATTAGTAATAATTCTTATTACTGTAATTTATTGTTATTACCGTGAACTGCAAACTGCAGTATAATATACTATAGCATGTGGGAATGCTAAGGTTACTGTAACATTAACACTTTAACACTAACATAGTTTAACATGATGAACAAGCTTAATAATAATATGAGCTATAACACAGCTAATAGCTAGGCTCATAACTATGGAAAATTAATAGTATTTTGAATGACTAATTCCACCTGGGAAAAGGTAAAATAATCATGTCAATGGTAACATTATAATATCTGCTGAATAAATCTAATATATACACAATTGCCGGAGGATGGCAAGATGGGGGCACTCAAACCACTATTTTCCAACAACTGGGCCCTTCCATAACATGGACTGATTTTAAAGATAGCGCTCGCTATTTATTGATTAGCAAACTATGTCATGCTCACGGCTAATGCTATTATCGATCATTGTTCTGCAACAGCAAAATAATATCATTCTCATCATCTTTACTGTAACATTACCTCTATGAGGTTCCATTTGTGTCAAAAATAAGCAGATGTAAAATGTCTAGATATACAAATGGAACCTCATATATGCCATGCTACAATTGATGTAAAGATGTCGAAAATGTCTGAAAGGTCGGATACAGGAGAGAGCGTATCTGGAGCTGGAGACCAACAAGGCCTCCCTCATCCTTGGCCCGATCTCAAAGGATTTTTCTAAATATTTGAAAAATTGAGCTTTCATTTCATATAGTGGCATCTGGCTGTTGTTTTTTTAAGGTTACTTTATACTTTTATACTTTAAGTAGTTTTTGGAGCACATACTTTTTTACTTTTACTTGAGTAAAGAGGTCAAGCAGATACTTCAACTTTTACCAGAGTGTTTTTAAACTGCAGTATCTATACTTCTACTTAAGTAACAAATGTGTGTACTTTTGACACCACTGCACAGGGTGTATACAAAATGAAATTTCATTTACTACAGCCCTCAATACATTTCCATTTCTTGAACTGCAGCAATAATAAAATGTAAACATGGTGATCAAATGTAAACATAAGACAGAGATGCGATTAACAGTTTTTCAAACATTCGGCACTTTTTTTTTTTTTAACCCCATTTTATACAACATTCAGTAGTCTGATGGCAGTGGGGAAGAAGCTGTTCTGGAATCTGCTGGACCTGCATTGGATGCTGCGAAGCCTCTTCCCAGAGGGCTGCAGGGAGAACAGTCAATGGTGTGGGGGTGAGAGGTCATTTATAATGTAACGGGCTCGGGAGGGAAGAGGAGCCCTTATGCTCTTCTCTGCAGTAAATATATTTAATTGTTAATTTAGGATAATTGTTTCATCAAATAGATTCATGCATCTTAAGTCACATTCAAAATCTGTACTGAACAGTGAGTGACAGCATTAGCAGTTCTACAAAACTATCATTGGGTTACGTTATTTGAATGATCACATTTCACATCAAAAAATAATATTTTCCACAGCTTTAGTCTTGAAATAAAATCCAGAGTCTCTGTGTTCAAGAGCAAGTCCATATGTGACTGAGTCAGAGAAAAGACCATCAATACATGATGCTGCAGCATCCATACATGAAGAACTGGTCTTCCAGCCTACATCACTGCAGACAAAGCAGAGCTTCAGCCCTAATGCTTTATATTCAGCGGTTCTAATGAATTACTGAATTAATCCACATCATGTTTTAACCATGGGTGGAAAGGAAAAATTTACATTTACTTGATTGATGTACTTAAGAACATTTCTTTAATTATTTACTTTATTTGAGTTTTTTTGAGTTTTTAGTTGTTGCCATGTGGCCAGGTTGTTCAGATAAGTTCTCAAATCAGAGTTGTAGTTTCTTTGTGGTAATAGATTCAACATTAAACCTTTACAGTTTGAGAAGAATCAAGGCTCACCTGTTTTCTTTTTGGTTTGTTTTTGAATAATAAATAATAATCAAGATAGCTGTATTTATTTTTTGTGCTTTTTTATGCTGAAGTTCTTTACAAGTGGTGTAGAATATTGGTAACAGGTGGTTCTACGCATCAAGTTCTTTAAAAAGACTGAAAATTACACAGAAAAATACTGATATTACAACATTTGCTTGTATTTTTGAATACTAATACTTATTGAATCCTCACTTGAATATTTTGAAAATTCAATACTTCAACTTGACTGAGTAACTTTGAATTGTAGTTAAGTAAGATTAGACAATGAGTATCAATACTTTACTCAAGTACTACTGTTGAGCACTTCGTCCACCACTGGACATATGCAGTGGAGATTATTTTACTCCAAAGGTCTGAATGGGTGTGTACATGGATGCAAAACTGAAT